CTTCACCATCCATACTGATACTGACAATTGGCCCAGTGGTGAGAATCTTTGTTTTCTTGATATTGAGCTTCAATCCATATTGAAGACTGCAGTCCTTGATCTTCTGCAGCAAGCGCTTCAGGTCCTCCTCAGTTTCAGCAAGCAGGGTTGTATCATCTGCATAACGCAGGTTGTTGACAATTCTTCCACCAATCCTGATGCCACATTCCTCCTCATACAGCCCAGCGTTTCGAGTGATCTGTTCTGCATACAGATTAAAAATGTATGGAGACAAAATACATCCCTGATGGGCCCCTTTTTTTATTTTGAACCATCCAGTGTTTCCCTGCTCTGTTCTGACGACTGCCTCTTGGTCCAAGTATAGGTTTCACATTAGCACGATCAAACGTTCTGGGATTCCCATTCTTCTCAGAGTCAGCCACAGCTTGTTGTGATCCACACACTCTAAAGCCTTTGCATAGTCAATGAAGCACAGATAGACATTCTTCTGGTATTTTTTGCTTTCTGCCAAGATCCATCTAACATTAGCTATAATATCCCTAGTACCGCGACCTCTTCTAAATTCAGCCTGCACATCTGGCAGTTTTCTGTTGACATATTGTTCCAAACATTTTTGGATAATTTTCAGCAGAATCTTGCTTGCATGTGATATCAATGATACGGTTCGATAATTTTCACACTCTGTTGGGTCACCTTTCTTTAGAATGGGAACAAATATCCATCTCTTTCAGTCAGTTGGCCAGCTGGCTGTCTTCCAGATTTCCTGGCACAACCAAGTGAGCACATCCAGGGCAGCGTCTGTTTGTTGAAATAAATCAATTGGTATGCAGTCAACTCCTGGAGCCTTGTTTTTTGCCAATTCCTTCATAGCAACTTGAACTTCCTCCTTCATCACCATAGGTTCTTGCTCATACGTTATTTCATGAAATTCCTCTGTGTCAGCAAATTCCTTCTGATACAGTAACTCTGTGTAATCCTTCCATCTTCTTTTTATACATCTTGGATCATTCAACATTCTACCCAAACTATCCTTAAGTATTGCCACCCGAGCTTGAATTTGTTTTTCATACCTGTAATATACCATTGGGAGCTTTCATGGCTTAGTCCATAGGGAATTGCACAGTTAACCTAAAAGATTGCATCTCTCTGAATGTTCTAATCAACTTCTCAGGAAAAAAGAAGAGAGAAAATAAAAAGATGGGCAATCTCCTCCTGATAAACTTACAGCCTTGGAAATCTATTGGAAGGTCAACAAAATGTTGGTTCTGATTTGATGATAAGGACATCTCGAGTTTTAACATACCACAGAAATAACCACTTCATGCATTTGATTGCATTATTCTTTTAAATCAACTCATGAAGATGAAAGATTAATACAGTCTTTTGAAAAGCAATGCTAAAGAAAATTTAGACCATTTTCTAAGGATGAAGGCTAATTTTTGGAAAAGAACATCATGTTTGGAAAGGTGGATGGATGGTCAAGGAGAGGAAGAAGACCCTCAACCAAGTGGATTAAGACAGTGACTGTAGCAATGGCTTAAGTGTGTCAGAGATTGTGAGGACGACACAGGAAAGGACAGGGTTCAGATCTGCTGTTAATGGAGTTGCCATGAGTTGTACTCAACTTGGCAACACCTAACAACAACACAACAATGTATTATATAGTGCTGGTGTAATATAAAACCTTGATACAATCAAAGCACAGTTGTTTGGTTCCCCCCTCTTCGTAATTTGTACCATTTTTACCTAAATGTCCCCAAAGCAAGAACTGACCGAACTTAATTTCTCAGCTTTGTTTTAAAAGGCATTAAAAAATATGTGACAAATGTTCTCAACAATTTAGATTCTTAATTACACATATAATTGCCAAACAACAGAATTAAAGTTAATACAGAATTATTCTTTTCAAAATAATTCCAAGTTTCATTTGCTATACTTTGAGAGTTAAATAAAAGTTTGGGGTGAATTTTTATTACAAATAAATGCTTTATTTGAAGCTGAAAGAAAATGTCTTTAAAGTCTGAGTGGTAAATTACTGTTCTGAGAAAACAGAACTTAACAAAGGTTGTGTGCTTGGTTGAAAATAGTGGAAATGCACAAGGGAAACAATTTATGGCCATACATTGTGGAGTAAAGCTTTCTAATTCAGAAATTGTCTTTTCTACTGTCTACTCTTGGTTGGTTCAAAAGCACCTAACAATAGTAACAACATTATAGAACATTTGTGTCAATAATTATGCTCAAATTTGGGTGACCATGTTGGCATTTGACACACAGGTGACATAGTTTGCTGCATCACAGAAGCCTACATATTACACCAGTACAGTGAACTGACAGAGAAGCACTGTACTAAGAAAGGCAAACAATTATCAAGTAAGTACTACACACCCAGTTATAAAGTAAATGGTGATGTTAGTGTGTACCGTCAAGTCAGAACGGACCTATAGCTGACTCTCCAGTGGTTTTTCAAAGGCAGTTAATCACATGAGAGGGGAAATGGCCATCCATCTTTTGAGCAGCTGGTGGACTCTAACAATATGCTTTCAGGATTACAACACAGCAATTTCCAATATAATGAGCTGACAGATAACTGATGGTGGTGTATCTCTAACAGCAAATTATAAAGACAAGAAG